AATCTCGAGGCGAAGCTCGGCAGACTGCGGCGTCGGTTGAGACAGTGGAACTGGGATGTTTTTGGAAACCTTCATCAGCGTCTTGCTGCGGCTCAGAGTGCGCATGCGACGGCTGAGCGGGCCTATGACCTGGATCCCACTCTGGAAAATAGGACTGCCATGCACCGCTGCCACGCCGAGTACCAGCTCCGACTCCTTATGGAGGAGGACTTCTGGAAGCAGAAGGCGGCCGTTCGCTGGGTGGCCGAGGGCGAGCGGAACACTAGGTTCTTCCAGGGCTACGTTAGGCAGAAGCGTGCCAAGTCGTACATCCATAGTATCGAGGCTGATGGGTCATCCTGGACCCAGGAGGCTCAGATTCGGGAGTCGGCTGTTGCTTACTTCCAGACCCTCTTCACCTCTGACAGAGGGTCCCTCGTAGCCCCGACCGCTTCTTTTTTCCCCACCATCCCTCCTTCGGTCGATCTCATTGGCCTCTGTGAGCTCCCGAGCAGGGAGGAGGTTAGGGATGCTGTATTCGGGATTGATCTCAACAGCGTTTCTGGCCCGGATGGTTTCTCCTCCCTCTTCTATCAGGTCTGCTGGGATCTTGTCGAGGCTGACGTTCAGGAGGCGATGTTGGATTTTTTCTCCGGCCACCGGATGCCGGATTCCTTCACGTCTACCTCTGTCGTCTTGATCTCCAAACGATCCAACCCGAGCTCTTGGTCCGATTACAGGCCCATCAGCCTGTGTAACGTGACAAACAAGCTCATTTTGAAGATTCTTAACGGCCGTCTTTCCCCTCTTCTCCCCTACCTCATCTCTCTGAACTAGAGTGGATTCGTCAAGGATCGGGTCATTAGTGATAACATCCTTCTGGCCCAGGAGATGATCCACGACATCTCCCGAGCGGACTGGAAGCGGGCTCCGAATATCGCGCTGAAGCTAGACATGGCTAAGGCGTATGATAGGGTTGAGTGGCCGTTTCTTAGGGAGGCGTTGGCTAGGATGGGATTCCCTGGGCGTTGGATCAGCTTTGTGGAGGCGTGTGTGGAGCATTGCACGTTCTCGGTCCTGATTAATGGCAACCCCACCGACTTCTTTCCCTCCTCTAGAGGCCTTAGACAGGGCGACCCTCTTTCCCCTTCCTTCTTCGTTCTTGCGGCGGACTACCTCTCTCGCTGCCTTGACGGCTTCATCCGCGATTCTCCCCATATGACCTATAGCACTCGTGGCTATGGTCCTACCATCTCTCACCTCTCTTATGCGGATGACATCATTATCTTCACCCGGGCGGATGATGATGGACTGGTCGAGCTTATGCGCCTTTTGGAGCACTATGGCTTGGTCACCGGTCAGCTGGTCAGTGTGCAGAAGAGCACCTTCATCCTTACATCTGCCACCGTGGACAGGTGGGCTCAGCGGGTCCACGACATTACTGGCTTTGCGCGTGGCGACCTTCCCATTACCTACCTCGGGGTCCCTTTATATAAGGGCAACCTCACGAGAGCGCTCTTTGCGGGCATCAGGCACAGGATGATCGACAGGATCTCTAGTTGGTCGCATAGATATCTTTCCTTCGGTGGTCGGCTAGCGCTGATCAAGAGCACTCTTAGCTCTCTTCCGATTCACTTGCTTATGGTCCTCGACCCCCCTAGGTCTACTCTTGACGAGATTGACCAAATTACGGCTCGTTATTTCTGGGGTTATGAGGACGGGTCTGGGAGGGGGAGACGTACTCACTGGGTGAGTTGGGACTCTATCTGCCGCTCCCTCCCCGAGGGTGGCCTTGGCATCCGCCGCCTCAGGGACATTGTTACAGCTTTCTCATACAAGCTGTGGTGGCACTTCAGGGAAGGAAAGTCGCTTTGGGCTCAGTACCTTCGCGGCAAGTACTGCCCTAGACGTGCCAACCACCCTTGTTGGGTCACGGCTGTTGATCACGATAGCAGACAGTGGCGGCGCCTCATTAGGGTCGGGAGGCGAGCCCAGGATCACATCTTTTGGGTTTTAGGCGGGGGCGATGTCAGTGTCTGGGATGAGTGGTGGGTAGGTGATAGGCCGTTGTCTAGGGATAGGCAGGTGTCGCATTCCCCATACCTAATCGTGAGCGACCTCTGGACGGACGGGTCGTGGGATAGGGGGAAGCTTGATAGGGAGTTGGGGGCTGGTGCGGGTTTTAGCGAGCAGTTATTAGATCAGATCCAGCAGATCCCTATCTCGGGGGACGGTTCAGATAGCATGAGGTGGAGACTTACATCATCAAGTGTGTTTTCTACTACCTCGGCTTGGGAGCAGATAAGGCTGAGGGATCGGCCTAATCTCCTCTTCGGGGCTATCTAGAGTGACCTTTTCACGCCTACTATTTCGGTGTTCCTTTGGCGCCTCCTCTTGCACCGGATACCTGTTGATACTGTGCTACACGCGAGAGGGATCTCCTTCCCCTCTCGGTGTGTGTGTTGTTCTAAGACTGGACGACATGAGACTGAGACCTTTACCCACCTTTTTCTAGAGAGTGAGATTGTGAGGAGAGTGTGGGAGCATTTTGCCACTTGGACTCATATATCCCTACCCACCACATACAGTTTTTTTGAGCTCCTGAGTTTTTTCTCACAGAGCACACACCTTAGACACGTGGGCTTCCTCATTCCTTGTCTGATCCTTTGGTTCACCTGGACAGAAAGGAATAGTGCGAAGCATAGGGATATTACTTTTATGTTTTCTCACATTGTTTTGCAGGTAGAGAGACACATTTCACTCCTCATCGCATTGGGCAGGCTCACGGCCCGAGACTGGACAGGCTGCACGCCACCGCATCGCTACATGGTGGCCCCACCACCGCCTGTTCGGCCTCCTCGGGCCAGAGCTGTTGTTTGGCTTCGACCTGACTCTCCGTGGGTCAAGCTGAACACTGATGGCTCCTTTGATCGCCACACTGGAGTTGCCGGAGGAGGAGGCTTGATTCGGGACCATAGCGGCGCCCTCATCACCGCCTTCCACGCGTCCATTCAGGCCTCCTCGAGCTACGATGCAGAGATTCAGGCACTACAGATTGGCCTTCAGATTGCTGTCCACCTCTCTAGTCATATATGGATCGAGCTGGATGCTGCGGCTGTCGCCACCCTCCTGACTTCGGGCCATCAGGGCTCGTGGCAGATTCAGCACCCGCTTATGCGCATTAGAGATCTACTTCGGTCAGTCCATCACAGGATCACGCACATTTTCCGTGAGGGGAACAGACCGGCTGATTACCTGGCCAGCCTTGGCGCCACCATACCAGGCACACATACATTCCAGACCGACACTGCTCCACTCCGCCTTCGCACTCTTGTACGGATGGACCAGCTTGGATATCCAGCGTTCCGCTTTCACTAGTATAGGATTTCTATTTTCATTAGTATAGACATTTATCTCGGGCATCTGTTAGCCCGAAGATCGACTTTATATTGTAGTTTTTTGTTTCTTTTTCGTTTTTCGGTTTTTCTTTCTTGTTTTCCTTTTGTTTTTGTTTTTGATTGTCAGACTATGTAGACCTTTGTATCTGGTTCGTTGACATTTGGGCTCCCGTTTTTGGGGCCCTGATCTATGCACAGGTTGGGGATCCAGCCCAATCCCCCGTCCTTCCGGGGCGTTGTTTGTTTAAAAAAAAAAAAAAAACCTAGCAGCGAGAAAGAAATAACCTAGCAACAAAAGATGACTAACCTAGCAGCAATAAAGAACTAACCTAGCAGCAAGAAAGAAATAATCTAGCAACAAAAGACAACTAACCTAGCAGCAAGAAAGAAATAACCTAGCAACAAAAGACAACTAACCTAGCAGCAAGAAAGAAATAATCTAGCAACAAAAGACAACTAACCTAGCAGCATCAGACAACTAACCTAGCAGCAAGAAAGAACAACTAAACTAGCAACAAAGACAACTAACCTAGCAACAAAACACAACTAACCTAGCAGCAAGAAAGAAATAACCTAGCAACAAAAGACAACTAACCTAGCAGCGAAAAGAAATAACATAACCTAACAATAAAAGACAACTAACCTAGCAGATTCGGCTGGAACCTCGGATCCGGTAGTCTTTGGACCACTGTCAGCGAAATTTGCAGCGCCAGTTTTATCACAATCATCACTGCAAGACGGCGATTCGGAGAACCCTCAGCTGCATAACAAGTCGGCCCCCCAAATCAAACCTGGTCATCCTCTTGGGCCTAATTTGGCCCATAACAGCTTTGGCCCAACTCTTACCATCCTACAACAAGGTGACAATAACTTGGGCCGCACCTCACAGCCTGGTTCAGCCACCAACCCATTTTTGAACCTTCCAGTGTATATGCCCAATCTTCCCCAGCATACTACCCCCATATTTAATCAAA